AGTTTTCAGCCTTTGGCTTTCCATGTTTCCAGAAGCAGCCTCACTTACGCCCTCCAACCCGGAAGTCACAGGTCCAGCGAGAGAGCCCTACTACTACTACTAAGTCCAAGACCCGGCACTCCTCCGCCTTCGCTCTTCAAGCCCTGGGATGTGGCTGCTTCCTGCTGCCCGAGGGCTCCAGTTTTTGGTTTTCCAGTTAGCAATCCCTAGTAAACCACTCTTGAAATTCTCTAGGCAAATACAACTGGGTTAACTCCTGCTTTCCTGTCTGGACCCCAAGAAGTATGGTCATTAGAAAAAGCATTCTTTCTTAAAAGAGGAGAATTCACATAGTTATGCAATTACGGAACATAGTGCTAGATCAAATCACAATGGGGCATCAACTGGGGTCAAAAATAACTGTTCCCTTAGGAAACAACTGTCTCCCAATGAAACTCTACAGATTTAATCTAAATTATGCCTCACTTTAAGATTTTCTTTGCAGGGATCAACAGTGAACCACACCCTTTCCATAGGCAGGGACCCCGCATTAACATCCGCGTGAGGTGTCTGCTGTTAGTTGCGCTGACTCACGGTGAGCCCATATCCAACAGACTGAAATGCTGTCCTGTCTTGGGCCATCATTCCTATTGGTAGTCTTCAATCCCTTGTGGAGGCTACTGTGTGTTTGGAGTGTCTTATAATTTAGGGGGTTCATCCTCTAGCTCTAGAGGTTGTTCTGGTTTTTCACTGGCTATTTTGCTGAAGTAAACCTCCAGGCCTTTCTTCCTCATTAGTCCTAGTCCAGAAGCTCCTCTGAAACGTGCCTGCCATGGATCCCTCAAGTGGCTGCTGGGGGGAAACCTCAGCATCTCACCACATGGAACTGTCCGGCTCCTGGGGATGTGACTTCTCTTAGAGTAAGTGAACTCAGAGACTTGAATAGGCACAAGAGACACCACAGTGCCTTTTATGGTCTGATCTTAGATCACACTCGTTGCCATCAAGTAGGAAGTGACTCATAGCTGACCCTCCAGCAGCGTCTCAGAGGCTGTAAATCACACAGGCGGAGACTGCCCATCTTCTTCCCTTGGACCAGCCAGTGGCTTTGAACCACTTGACTTCCAGTTGGCAGAACAACATCCTATCCACAAGGACACCACCAGGGAGCTCTGGGGATGTAATCTGTAGGGGTGGGTGCTGTCAACCCAAAGGGGGCGCTTCTCTGGTGGCTAAGACTACCACCTTTCCAAACATGATGTCCCCTTCCAAGGAATAAACTCTCTAACAACATGTCAAAAAAGGACGTTATGCTGTAAGTACTTTACTACAATGAACTCAGTCACCTGGAAAGGTTACAGAGAGGAAGACCCTTAGCAAGAAGGACTCACACAGTGGCTGGATCAAGGGACTCAACTCTCTCAGAGCTAAGGAGAATGGCCCAAAATAGGACAGGGTTCAGAGTTGCTGTTCAATAGAATTGCTATGAACCATACTCGACTCGACGGTACCTAAGACTAACAACAGCAGCCGGGCTGGTGTTGGTCTCTCCAAATTGGTGGAAGATCTTTCCTTATCCGTCCCAGCTTCTGGTGGCCACCATGGCTTGTATACAGAGTGTCATATAGTCGTGTCTCCTCAGTTTCTATCTGCTGTCTTTGCTAAGGACTCCACGTAGATGGCATTACGACTCACCCTCCTTCAGTATAACCTCATGTTAACTGATTACATCTTTAGAAACCTTATTGCTAAACAAGGTCATAATTAAGTCATTGTCAGGATCTCATCATCTCTCTTTTTTCCCCTCATGTCTTTTTGAGTGGACACAGTCTGTCACCAACATCAGTAAACAAAGCACCCGGATGAGAATTAAAAAATTACAACTTCTGACTGCAGCATCAAGATATATGGATACAAAGGCGAGGAACTAAAGGGGTTACAATTTCCAAGAAACTGTACTGTACTAGGTAGACAGCACCTGGACCATTGTCCATGACTTCCCTACAGGTCAGACGTTAAGAGAGAGAGTCAAGAGAGTAGAGCCTGGGAGGGGATCTTTGGAGATAATCAGAGAGTCTGGATGTCTACTATCTTGGCTCAAGCTTGAAGAGTTGGGGCAGTGGCGCCCCAAGAAGGGTGTAGACCAGTGGAGGTTCAAATCAGGACTCACACTTGGAAAGAGGTTGCAAGTGGCAGTAGTTTTCTCAGATCCCTTAAGACATGGCTCAGTTTCAAATATTTTCAATCCACAGTTAGTGGAATCCACAAACACAGAACCCATAGATACGGAGGGCCAATCGTGTTCGCTTAATGAACAAAACCCAAGCCATGCTGTTAAATTCCCTTTGGGTAGAGGAGCACATTTGCACAGTGTTTGAGAAGCAAGCGACTCTCTTGTTGAAGACAAAGTTCTCTCGAGGCTGAGCCAATACACAGCAAGAATAAGGCCAGAGTTGTCCCGTCCATGCGGGGACAACAGGGATATAAGAGTTGTCTTTGCTGGCCGCTCTCACAGCTAGACTGTAACAGCAGTTTCACTGACTGTACGGAGCCTGACCTCTGATCCTAGTGCTTTTCCTTACTCTCAGCATCCACCGAGTCAACCCAGCTCTCAGCGACCTCACGTGCAATGCAACGATCCACCATCAGGTTCTGCTCCACCACCAGGATCAACTGCACCTTGCCAATGCTGTGACTCATCAGGTAGATTGCCAAGCCTTTCTTCTTAGCTGCACAGAAGCCTGTTTAGCAACACAACAGCCTCCAACAGACAAATAAGCAGGAGTAATCTAACCCTGGTCATCTGCATGGAAGGCAAGGATTCTACCACCAATCACTACTGAACCCATAACACTCACTGCAGAAAGAACTCAAACTCCTGGCTGTAAATGCAATTACAACTCCTGGGAACCCCATGCCTCCCAGAGCAGAGCCAAGTCTACATGGTCTCTTTGGCTTTAGTTTTCACAGAAGTAAAGCTGCCAGGCCTTTCTCCCGTGGCACAACCAAGTAGGTTCAAATCACCAAGCTCGAGGCTCAGAGCTGATTACAAATCTGCTTTCATCACTCAGGGACATTCAGGTTACTCCTCAAACCTTTGTTGCTGTTGTTGTTAGGGGCTGTTGAATCAAGTATGACTCAAAGCAACCCTCTTAAAAAAAGTTCAGGACCCTGTTCTGTCCTGGGCCATCCTCAAACTTCCTGACACACTACAGTCCACTGCAGTAGTCAGCGTGTCAATCCACCTGACTGAGGGTCTTCCTCTCCTTTGCTGACCCTCCACCCTTCCCAGCATCATGTCTCTCTCCAAGGAATAGGCCCTCCTCCCAACATGCCCAAATTATGTGAGGCGAAGCCTCATCATTCTTGTCTCCAAAGACTGATATCATTTTCTCCTCAATAATTTGGAGAGGTCCCTAACTACAGACATTCCTTTGGGCTGTTTCCTTACAACTTTGATTTTCTTCAATTTTTTCCCCCCTCTGGCCAGGAAGTGCCACGTAACTGTGCCATTGATGGCCACTCACAAAATCAGGTGCACTGATCCAGGCCATGGTCCTCACGATTATGTGCTACACAAAAGAAAGCTGGACAAATGCCTAAGGATGACAGAAGAAAGAAGAATCGATGCCTTTGAGATGTGGTGCTGGAGAAGAGTCTTTAACATACCATGGAGTTCCAAGAAAACAAATAGGTCTGTCTTGGAGAGGATAAAACCAAGTTTCTCCTTGGAGGCTAGGATTTGGAAGCTCTGTCTCACATACTTTGGGCACATGGCCAGGAGAAACCGGTCCTTGGAAAAGGACATCATGCTCGGAAGGGTGGAGGGACAGTGCAGGACAGGAAGACCCCAGACGAGATATATACAGTAAATGGGGCAAGGGGGTAGGTGTGTTGGAGACAGTGAGACTGGCTCAGGCCAGGGTTTAGAGCTGTTGTACGCAGGGGCGCTATGTATGAGTCGCAGTTGAAGTGATGGTACACAAGTTTTTATAATGTTCCCCCACACACACCCCGTATGCTCTACTATATTCATGGAAATATTTGTAGTGAGTTCTGGTGGCCTCCTATTAAGGAGCTTCACAGCCAACCCAAAGGCACGTGGTTTGAATCCACCAGCTACATGGGGGCAGGGAGGGGGGAAGATGGGCCACCTCCTCCCCAGACTATTTACAGCCTCTAAAAACCTGCTCGAATCAGCTAGGAGTTGGAGGCTCTGACTCAATGTTACGTAACAGCCCAATGTCTTGTCATTCTTTGAATCATCCTTCCAAACACTTCATCTGACACATACAAAAGAGAAGCTATTTCTTCCAACTCCCCTACATCACCATATTCTCCAGAAGAACTGGCTTCCTCAGGAAACACAGTTGAATCAAAACACAGGGGATCAGAATTCACTATGGGAACACAGAGGCTGCTCTTAGGACAGATCACTCTTTGAGGAATAGATGTTATTTTGTAATTACTCACAGTCTGGAATAATACAATATTGATTGATTGGTTGGAAAAATCAACTCTAAGAAAACTTCAATCAACCCAACTTTTGGAAAAATTGATATGGATACAATTATTCATATGCATTATGTATCCATCATGTACACAGTGGCGGTTTCCTACTTTGCTTCCCTGCCATTACGTTTCATACAATCATTCTCATTCATTGTGCTTGGTAACCTTAAGAACCCTTGAACGATGCCCACCATTCCCGTCTTTTCAGGTTGCTGCCAGATCGTTCCCATTTCCTTTACCTGCCCACCCTCACCCCTCTGCTCCCACCCCGTTCCCCCTAAGACTCCTATCCAAACTTTTGAAAAACAAAATAGAAAGGAAGGAACGTTTGTTTTTTATTTTTGGTAACTGGCTAAATGCAACTACTGTGACAAAATGAAAACCATGTGACTTTAGGGACGACAGACACACTGTCTGCCTCAACTCTCTCTCACTCACTCTGCATGAGGGTGCCTAGCTCATGCTGCAATCCTAACTCCAAGACCGCAGGCCAAGCTTGTCCCACTTACCAGCAAACGTCCCTGTGCATGGATTCACCCCTGCCAGACGTTTAGAGGTCCCAAAGTCGGTTATTTTTACCACTCCATTGTAGGTGTTGACTAGAACATTATCACCCTTTAAGAAAAGAAAAGGATTATATACTTAAAGGCTGATTTGAATAAACCAATTCAAAACAGGTTTGCCTTCAAGAAATGTCAATTTTTCAGGAAGACTGGGCATTCACACTTCGGGGACCATCCCACTAAATTCATCACTCACTCTCTTGGGGTGCAAGCTAGTGGCAGGCACTATGGACAGCTCTCACTATCTGATATCATTAGAAGGAGATGATGTGACTTAGAGAAGAAAGCGTACCTTTATGTCTCTGTGCACAATCTGGTTTTCATGGAGGTACTGAAGGCCTTCCAGGATCTGCCTGGTGTAAAACTTGATAGTGGGCTCCTTCATGGGCCCCCATTTGGACCGCAAAAGAGCAGAAAGGCTTCCTAGAAATGGATACAGCAGAACACTCGTCAGGGTAACGATGTGACAGTTCAAAGAGTTTAGGGATGTCCAGTGTTGCTACAAGGGGAACACACACGTGAAGGGCTTTAACAAAGAACCCAATTTTCTCACAGTCTGGGAGACTGGAAGTGCAAGACCAGAGAGGCCCATGGATTCCTCACCTCCAGGCACCTGCTCCATAAATATCTTAATGTAGCCATCCTCCGACACCGAGCCCAAGTACTGGACGATGTTGCGGTGCTTGAGGTACTTGTGCAGGGCGATCTCCTCGTGGAGAGGCTGAGAGAACCTGTTAGGGAGAGAGCACCCCAGTGTCACAGTCTCCCCGGCCCCCTACCACTGCCGCTTCTCCCTTCTCCCCAGAACCAGTCTATTTCCCGAGTTCCCATGATGCTACTCAAGCACCTAGCTGGGAACTCAGGACTGCTGAGCTAGACCTGCAGAGCTGCGAGGAGGCAAAACTATCTTTCCAAATATCACCCTGTCCAAGCCACAGACCTCTAAGTGAGGCTCTTCCATTTTCTCTACCCAGTTATACTACACAGAGAACAAAAGTAAATGATTCCAATTTAAAGGGAATCATAAAATTTTAGCAGAAGCACTTCTTTTCTTCCTAGGTCCTCTGAGCCCCCAGCGGTGGCCACAGATGGTGTTTACTGAGAACGCAAACTGGCCGCCGACTTGCCTGCTATCTTTCTCTGGGATTTCTTTGATGGCAATTCGCACTTGGTTGCTCAAATCTCTGCCAGCATACACGATCCCGTATCTGCCTTTCCCCAAAATAGTTCTATCTCCGTTCACATCGTGGTCGTACTCATACTAAAAAGGAAGGAATAAGAGGACACAAAAGAGCATACAACTTGAGCTGGAGAAGCTCCCTCAGAGCACTGGCGCGTAGCTGTAGTAGCTGCCTCACCCCCATTCCCAACTGAACGCTGTGGTTTCAAACTCCATGACCCTTTATGAATGAGTTACGGTTGAAAACTTCCTTCTTTAGCTCAGAATCAAAGGTCAATAAAATTAAAGTTGTCTCATTACAAAGAACGTTAAGTTGGACTTCCACTCTTTCACGAATTTGCGTGTCATCCTTGCGCAGGGGCCATGCTAATCTCTGTATCGTTCCAATTTTAGTATATGTGCTGCCGAAGCGAGCACAAAAGCTACTGCCTTCTCTGAGGCTCGAACTCCACTCTTTCTTTCAGATGTCTCACTCTAGAATTAAATGCACACTGCAAAATTTCAACCTGAAATTAGTGCTGTTTCTTCCCCCCAATCCTAGCACTGCCTAAAGCAGTTCTGTACACCTGCACCACAGCGGATTCTTCCTGATGATTCAACCACCAAAGGCAACTCATACTTGAACAGCACTTCTTTAAAGCATGGAGGCAGCAATCAATTGCATCTATTTGTTTAAATGTTCCACTGTGCTTACTTACAGACGTGCAGCCTAAAAACCGAACTCTCTCTCTCTCTCTCTCTCTCTGTGTGCATATACACATACACATACATGGATGTGCTTTTGTATCTACTTCCAGGATGCTTCTGATAATTGGGGTGGCCGACTGTTCCAGAAGCCATGGGAGACCGCACATTTTTCCCTAGCCCCCGCTGTCATCTCTAAAGTGTTCATTCTCTCATTTCTTTTCTACAACATATTCTGATTTCTAAAGCAAAGACTTCTAGGACCTAACTAAATTATGAAAATTAATTCCATTGTTCCTTTCAGAAAGAAACCTCAAGGAATTGCTTCCAGGCTAACTCACAAAAATGTAGTCACTGGGAAGATGTGACATATTGAACAAGTCTGAATCATTATGTGGTATTTAAACATAGCTATATAGACAGCTCTGTTGGCATAGAACATAATGTGCTGGGCTCCGAAATCAAAGATTGGGGGTTCAAGTCAACCAGCTGCTCAGGAGAAAGATGAGCAGTCTCCAGAGTCCAACAGAGGCTGCTATGAGTCAGAATTAACTTGATGGCACGGAGATTGGTTTATGCTGGCTTCGTATGTTAACATGGTGGGCTGCGTTGGTCTGCTAACTGAAAGGTTAGCAGTTGGTATCTACCAACTATTTCTTGATGGAAGATGGGTAGTGCTCTCCGATAAGGATTTAAGAGTCTCAGAAACCCCCTACAGGATTGTCCCTGAGTCAGCATTGAGTCAACAACAGCAGATGTGATTGGTTATAAAGGAGACAGAGGCCCTCCTAGTGCAGTATTTAAAGTGCTTAGCTTTTTTTTTTTCTTCCCTTCCCTTCCCCAGTGCTTAGCTTTTAATGAAAAGATTAACAGGTTGAAACCACTAGCAGCTCCATGAGAAAAGAGGTGTGCCAATCTGTTGCCACAGTTACTTTCCTATGGGGCAGTTCAACCTTGTCCTGTGTTATGTACCCTCAAGCCAGAACCGACTCCTAGCTGAAACTCTATAGTGAGTTTTCAGAAGTAGGAAATCACACAGGAAGAGATTAGAATCAATTTCACAGCAATGGACTATAATGGTGGATTAACTATGGACAACAACTGAGCTATCCAAAAGTTCATGATAATCCCACAGACTTGAAAGGATTTTGAAGATTTTTTTTTTGTTTAATGTATTATATACAATATCACTAAACCCATTTGAGGCATAAATGGGAACCTGCTTCATGTTGGCTAACTGCTTCTCATAAACATCAACTTGGCAAAATTTCTTCTGAAATACTTTCAAGCTAGTTCCTGGATGAAATTTTCTTAACAATTTCTGGATGAGACGACAGCAAAGGAATTAAGTTTTTCTATTGAGATACTGTAAAACTTTTATCTATGCAAGTCATGGATGTGGTTGACTGGCTGGTTGAGAAAGGAATACTTTAAAATATATATGAACAGAATTTCATGCAAAGGCTAGGATTTAATTTTTTTTAACAGTAAGGGCATAATAATGAACCTTTCCTTTGTTCCACTGGATCCTTCCCATCGAGAGATTATAAGGTAGGAAGTGTTTCCTGACTCACCTCTAAGGTGTCTCCATCGTTCTCTCCTTCAAGCTCCACTGTACTGCCCACCATGTTGGTAATCATCTCCTTGACCAAAGAGCAAAATCTACAACAGCAAGTATCACAAAGATGTTGGTATTTATCATTACTTTTATGTTCAAAGTTAGGACACACACTGAGTTAAAATTGATTTAAATTACGATTCAGCGCCCAGCTACCCCTCTGGCATCCTCAGCCCCACACAGAGCCAGGGTCAGGGGATAACCTTTCGGATCCACGTAGCTGTAGAAGCCTATATCTGATCTGATCCACCAGCCTCAAGCACAGGTGAAGGTTAACATTGGATTCCCAGCTACCTCTCTGGCACACTCAGCCACACATGGAACCGGGAGAGGTGGTTGTTGTTGTGTTGTGTTGCTGTGCCATCGAGTCGTTTCCGACTCATAGCGACCCTATGCACAACAGCCCTAAACCCTGCTCTATCCTGCGCCAACCGCACCGCCTCTGACACACCCATCCCGATTACCCCAGTCACCGAATCAATCCATCTCATAGAGGGTCTTCCCCTCCTGCGCTGTCCCTCCACCCTCCCAAGCATGATGTCCCTCTCCAAGGACCCGTCCCTCCTGGCAACATGTCCAAAGTATGTCAGACGAAGCCCCAGAATCCTTGCCTCCAAGGAGCAGCTTGGTTTAATCCTCTCCAAGATGGATCTGTTTGTTTTCCTGGCAGTCCAGGGTACATTCAGTACCCTTCTCCAGCACCACAGCTCAAAAGCATCCACTCTCCTTCTGTCCTCCCTAGTCATTGTCCAACTCTCTGATGCATAACAAGCGATTGCAAAGACCATGGCCTGTATCAGGCGCACCTTAGTCTCCAGAGAGACACTGTTGCTCCTGAGTACCTTTGAGAGGTACCTAACGGCAGACTTTCCCATCGCGATACGCTTTTTGATTTCCTGACTGCTGGTGCCAAGAGTGTTGACTGTGGAGCCGAGCAAACTGAAGCTGTGAACACTCTCAATCTCTTCATCATCCATCTTGACGCTGCCAATTGGTCCAGTGGCGAGAATCTTTGTCTTCTTGACATTGAGCCTTACTCCATACTGAAGGCTGCAGTCCTTGACCCTTCGCAGCAAGTGCATGAGGTCCTCCTCAGTTTCAGCAAGCAAGGTTGTGTCATGGGGAGAACAGTTTTGTACTTGTGAAGCTGTGGGCCCAAAGGCTTGTGGCCTTCAGGTCAAGGACAGAGTATCATGAACATTCAGGATCTAGCCAAGACACTGCTTTTGCCAGAGACATCATCCTGCTTTGCCAACTGTGCACATTAACTAGGAGACTCCAGCAAACAGTAGCTATAAAAATACAGTCCTTAGAGTGGGTCTGAGACAAAGGCCATCCTCCTGAATTGTCAGAGTGGTGAAGAGAGTTGGGGAATCTGGTGCACCACTCTACCCAAAAAGAAAAACAAAAGACTTCAGGAGAGAGGGCAGCAACCAGAAAAAGAAAGAAAACAAAACAACAAACCCATACCGAACAAACCCTGACCATCCACATACAAGAACTTAGTTGCAGGACCAGAGAGAAAGAAACAGAAGTAGCTGGACCCCCAGCCACAAAATAGTTTTGCCACAGGACCAGAGAGAAAGAACTACAGGTTGTGTGATTTATCCTACCCTCCCCTACTATTGTGGTGAGCTACCCAACTCAAGTCTTTCCTTGAGCCCGGAATAATTTAGGCAACGTTAACTGCCCTTCCTTCCCCTCAAACAGTGAGATCTCCAACCAAGATCATTAGACCAAGTTCCCATAAGGGCCCGAGGCAGGAAAAAGTTTACGACAGCAACGGCACAGAAGCAGCAGTCACACCCTACACAAAACCAAAGCAAGATGTCACCTCCAAAAAGTGATCAAAACAAAAAAAATCGAGTTCTTGAAGCCAAAAAGAAAACCTGATGAAACTTTCTAATATAGAAGACCAATGACTGAATATTTTCAATCGGTGAAAGATAAACGTCAAGAATCTACAGGATTCTACCAGCAAAAGCCAAAAGGAACTTAAAAAAGCAATGCAGATAAAACAAATGAGGCCTTAGAGACTCAGGAAAAGAAAGAAAGAACAATTCAGAATATGAGGACAAGTGTTTCAGAAACTGTCAACATGTTGCAGGGACATATGAACAAAGCTGAAGAGATAAAACATAGAACCAGTGAAATAGAAGATAAGAACTCTCAGCGCTGATCTGCTATAACCAAAAGCAGAATCAAAGAAGAAGGGGGAAAAAAGCCTAAGAATAATGTGGGACACCATCCATACTTGGAATCCCAGAACAGGGAGAAGAAAATAAAAGGCACTGAGAGAGTTGTGGAAGAATTACTAGAAGAAAACTTTCCTGTCATAATGAAAAATGAGAGGATATATACACATTAAGATAAGCTAACTCCATATAAAATAGACTGCAAAGAAAATCAGCAAGGCACATCATAGTCAAATTTGCAAGATTCAAAGATAAGGAGAGAATTCTGAAAGCAGCTAGGGAAAAATGAAGAGGTAACCTAGTGGCAAGTATCTGCACTGCAATCCTGAAGGCACATGAAAGGATGGGCAATCTCCTCCTGTACGATTAACTGCCTCTGAAAACCCGCTGGAGGGTCAGCTATAGGTCAGTACACTACCACCACAACCACAACATAACCTATAAGGGAGAGCAAATAAGGTTAAGTGCCAATTTCTTAGCAGAAACCATGTAAACAGACAGGGGAATGATACATATCACTCAAATAACACAACTTTCAACCAAGACTAATGAATCCAGCAACACTGTCCATCAAATATGATGGAGAGATGTTGTTGTTGTTATTGTTGTTGTTATGTGCTGTCGAGTCGCTCGCGACTCATAGCAACCCTTTGTACAACAGCCTTAAACTCCGCTCTGTCCTGTGCCAATCGCACTGTCTCTGACACTCCCATCCCAATTATCCCAGTCACTGAATCAATCCACCTCATAGAGGGCCTTCCCCTCCTGCGCTGTCCCTCCACCCTCCCAAGCATGATGTCCCTCTCCAAGGACCGGTCTCTCCTCACAGCATGTCCAAAGTATGTTAGACGGAGCCTCAGAATCCTTGAAGCATAACAAGTGATTGCGAAGACGAAGACCATAGCCTGTATCAGACGCACCTCTATGATGGAGAGATAAGATATTATCTCTATGATGGAGAGATAAGATATTCTAAGAAAAGCCTAAATTGAGGGAGTTTGTAAAAACAAGACCACCACTTTAAGAAATACGGATGAAATTCCTTACAGAAACGCCACAGATAGCAGGATGCACCAAAGCAACCAGCAACACTGCCAAAAGAACTCAACAAAATGATAGCGACAAAACCTTGCCTATCTATAACTACACTAAATGTGAATGGTTTAAATTCATCACTGAAGAGAAAGAGACTAGCAGATTGGATTAAAAAAAACCCCAAACCCATCAATATGCTGTCTACAAGAGTCCCCTGAAATGTGAAGATAACAATAGACTACAAATAAAAGGGTGCGGGGAAAATATACCAAGCAAATGGCAACCAGAAAAAAGCAGGAGTAGCAATATTAATCTCTGATAAAATAGATTTAAGTGTAAAAATCAACACAAAGGACAAGAAAGGTCACTATATAAGTTTAAGTTAGCAACACAACAGAGGACATGATAATAAATATCTAAGAACCAAATGATAAAGCTGCAAAATATGCAAAACAAACATTAACAGAACTGAAAAAAAGAAATAGACAATACCACAATAGTAGTTGGTAACTTCAACACACCACTCTCAGGAAAAGGCAGAACTACCAGAAAGAAACTAAGCAAAGGTGCTAATGAATTAAACCTCACAATTAACAAACTCAATCTCATAGATACATACAAACTAATGCACCCCCAAAGGCTGAGTAAACATGGGTCTCCAATATGCATGCAACATTTTAAAGAATAGATCACAAAGCAAGTATCAATAAATTAAACAGAAATAATACAAAGCTACAAAACAAGAGGATAAAGAAAAATCCTCATACATTTAAAAGCATGAACATGAGTGGGTACTAGAGGAAATAAAAAATGAAATGAAAAAGTATCTTGAAACAAATGAAACTATATGCACAACTCACCAAAACTTATGGGAAAGAGCCAAAGAAGTAATTAGAGATCAATTTATAGCAATTAACAATCAGACCCAGAGGGAAGAAAAAAAAATAAAAATGATTTTCCAGCCCAAGATCTCCAACAAGTTGAAAAGAATAGCAAGAAATCCCATCATCAGCCACTAAAAGAAATGAAATTACAAAAATTCAGGCAGAAATAAATGAAATAGAAACCAGAAAAACAATTGAAACCATCAACAAGAACAGGAATTGGTTCTTCGAAAAGATCAATAAAACTGAAAAACCACTAGCAAAACTAACAAAGGAAAAGAGAGAAAAGACACATAATCCAAATAATAGATGAAAGGGGTAATGTCACAACAAAACCAAATAAAATAAAAAGGTTAATACTGGAATATTAAGAAAAATTATGCTCAAACAAACAAGAAAACTTAGAGAAAATGGACAAAGAGTTGTAAACTCACAAGCTACCCACACTGACATAAACTGAAGCAGAACACCTGAACAGAACCATCACAAACGAAGAAATTGAACAGGTAATAAAAACATTTCCAACAACAACAACAACAAAAGTCCTAGACTAGATGGCTTTACTAGTGACCTTTATCAAACATTCAGAGAGGAACTGAATTTTATATTAAGTATTTCAGAAAACAGAAAAAGATGGAATTCTCCCAGACTCATTCTATGAAATAAACTTATCCTTGATGCCAAAGTCGGGTAAAAGCACCACCAAAACAGAAAACTTTAGGCCTATCTCTCTCATGAACATAGATGCAAAAATTCTTAACTAAATGCTAGCCAAAAGAATCCAACAATACACCAAAATATAATAATTTACCATGACCAAGTGGGATTCATAACAGCAAGGCTGGTTTAACATCAGAAAAACAATCAATGTAATTCATCATATTAACAAAGCAAAGAACAAGAACCACATGATCCTGTCAATTGATGAAA